AGTGACCTGTGACCTCAGTCTCGTACAATAACTTTTGTACAGTGAATATGAATATCATAACAGTAGCTACCAACCTTCATGACAAACACTCTCACAATGGCCTAGGTCTAGCCAGTAGCCTAGACTTTACGTCTTTTATTATTTTTAAATTCCGATTGCTTTAATAAACATCGGAAAATTGAAATGTATCTCCAAAAAAAAAAATACATTATTTTTGATTTATAATTATAAGAAGTTAATAAAAGGTCAGAAAATAAATTACACAAATCAATGGTGATATTGGTAGTCTATGAGTGGATACTTACCAGGTAAGTATTCACGAAGTAGACTTTAATGTCACATTTTACAATTATAATTGCTGAATAAAACCTTGCACAGTTTACATACTGCATGCACAGCATGCAAACAACATCAGAAAATCAAAATACGTAAAAGTAACAAGATGTGCAGACAAAAGACATGATGTTGACTTGTCTTGAGTTATTTCGAGGTTTTAGTGCCTATAGCTACAGTAGGCTAGGCCTATCCTACGTAGGCTAGCCAAGGCAAGCTGTAGGCCTAGGCCTATATGAAGTATTTAGAGTTTTTAAAGGTTTCGTTACTTAGGAAATATGTGTAAATGATGCTTTATTTCTTCCGTACACTGTAGCTTCGCGACCGATCAATGAAAATTTTTTTTAAAAAGCGCAAATAAACTTTGACCTGTTTACTATGTAAATAAGTTCATAGGTTAGCGAATTCAACGAATAAACGATTTTTTCAAATTTTTTCTAATTGGCATACAAGATGCAGAACCAAAACAATCAGCTTCAGCATCGCGACAACGTATTAATGAGTGTGTGACGTCATTTCTTTAACATATCTAACTTAGGCCTAGGCCTATGTCTTATGAAAATAAGCAAGAGTGGGGTGTCAAGTACTAAAAAAATTGTAGGAATTCGACTTTGAAAAGTATAGGCCTAGGCCTATATAGGCCTAGCTTAGCCTAGGCTAGCCTAGCCTCTGGGGTACCTATAGATACTTACGCCTAGCCTAGCCTACGGATTGATTGTGACTTGAGTGACATGGGTTATGGCCGAAAATCTAGGCCTAGCCTAGCCTAGCTAGGATCGTACGCGAGTGTACCATACAATAAATTTACGCCTACTTTTTCAGACTACATACCGTATAATTCAAACAAGGTGCAGATCAAAACAATTGCAGGTCTTTCCATGAACAACTTCAATTAGCTACTCCATACATGCCAAGTTTGAGTTTGGCTGTGGATGGAGATTTGCACAGGAACGAAACAATTTAGGCGTGGGTCGAGGGCTCGCCTAGGGCCCCGGAAATTTTTAGGCCTAGATGCTCTCTGGTGCACTCTGAGCAGATCTCTAGTGCTCAAATTAAATCTTAAAAATGGGGTAATATATACTAACATTTTTTGAAAAATAAAATTCTATAGCTTTATTTCAGTGTTAAAACTCTTAACTTTATTTATTTTTTTCAACAAAATTTTCAAAATACTCAAATACACGTTTTACATTTGACAAACAATTCTTTTGGTAAAACAAGTTAAACAGAAAAGGAGATCCGTGTAAAAGAGAGGCTGAAGCATCATTTGCTCTCTTTTGATGAATGTAACTGGTTGTATGCCCAAGTCGCTGAAAGTATTGATATGCATGATCGCGGTCGTCAAGTTAAAATAGAAATGACGTAATGTGTACAGCGCCACCAGTGTTAATTTTACACGAATACATTGTTTACTATCGGAACGGCATGTATTTTCGCGAAGCGATAGAACTTTCGTAGATTTTATATGCCTTATAAAACTACAGAATTGTCACGTTTTGGATATTTTTGTATTAAATTGTGGGTTTTAATAAAAACTCTTGAGATTATTAGAAAAGCTGGATATTTTAGGCTAGTGGCGGGAGAGCTGGAGGTTAGGGCGAAAAGCGGGAGTCTCCCGCCAAATGCGGGAGACTTGGTAGGTATGCTACTCGATTATGGAGTACGCATCGGCCTAGTCCAGCATTTAACCGCCATGATGCATAATCGATCGTGGTGACACAAGAGGGCGCTATCACTTTTAAGCTTTATTTTTTATGAAAGTGTGTTTTCTTCAATGCATTGAAAACACACCTAAGTCTCAGTTCCAGACAAACACATAACGTATGTGTACCTCAAATAAGAGACCGACCCTAAAAAACTGGTAAAATAAACACCGCCCTCTGTTGAGCGTTTATATGCAAAGAAAATGTTGGTACCGAGTGTGTGGTCCCAACTTAAAAAATTGTCTCTAGTTTATTGATGTGTTTTCCAACCGTGGTCCCGTAAATGTAGAAAAGGTGCAAGCACACACACACAGACACACACAGACACACACATACATACTTTTGAAGCCTATCGGGGACAAGGGTTATGTTAATGCAAATTGGGGACTACTGTGTAAAAGGAACAACCAATAATATTCTTTGTTTTTTATCATGTGCACAGCCTATCATTGCAAACTAACATAATGACAAATAAGTGGGGATTCATCTTCTAGTTTTCAACTTGTGCATGCACAATGGGGAAACCCAGTGTATATTTTTGGACTTGATTCTGGGGATTCCCAATGTCACTGTGGATGTCTCTCATAGGTTCACTGTACAATATATGTAACTTTCTCAGTATCTCTGATATTTGCACACTTATTGTAGGGATGAGGGTTTTTTGGGGTGGGGTTAGGAGGCGGAGTTGATGTTCTGAGGAGAATCAATCACTTCTTCAGTTACTGCTCATTTCGGCCGTCAGTCAAGTGTATGGAGATGACAATGAGACCACCATGGTTGAAATTTGGACCTGTGTTTTATGTCATTTATAATTTAATCATATTATTTTAAAGATTAGAATTGTAAGGTGATAAAGTCAAGGTATGAACGTTTATATCAATGGAATATTGTATTATTTTATCCACAAAACGACAAGAATAAAGTATTATGAAGACCAGGTCAATAAATTCAACAGGGTTTTTTTTTAATGTTATTAAATCATGGATAACAAACACATTAACAACTGCAAAAAAATGTAACTTAGAACTATTAATGAAATACATTTTTGTAAATACTGTTATGAATTGCCATTATTTAATACAGTTAAGTGTTACACAGTATTCTGTTTAATATGGTTATTGAAAGAATTTTCATCATTTCTGCTAGACACTAAATACATATGAGTTTACCTGCCTTGCACAAAAAAACGGAACTGAATGGCGCTCAAATTTACTGATATAAGCGGACTAACAACTGGTTTTACTTAATTGCATTTCCATAACAATATGATTTTTTAACATTTATAGTTAATGTTTAAAAAT